CATTGAAACTTTTCATAATGCATTTTAGTAATTATACGGTAATTTTCTCCCCAATTATTTTCTTTATGTTTGGAGTCCATATTCTAAGAGCCAGGTGCGGATCTCATTCATTGCCTGAGGCCTGCACATTTCATAACCCAAATTCAAAAAGTAACCATTAATTATTATTGTATGTTCAAAAAATGGTAATTAAAATAAAAAGCTGAAGTTATCGATGTTGACCCTCCACATGGTTTGAACCAGGTTTGAAATCTGACCAAACGAAGGGAGTCAACACATTGGTTTACAAATGAGGACTGAGCAAATGTGGTGTGAATATTATCCTCAACTGTGAAAACAAAAACGCAAGAATTATCATGATCTCGAGACTAATATCTAAATACTAATTAATTAGATATATAGATCATAATAAAACTTATAACACATACAAGTTCCATGTGTAATTAAGATTCGTAGCGATGCAGCACGAAAAGTACTCCTAGGAGTATTATTCATATTGGTTCGTAAGCTCCTACAAAATTGAGTTTGGTTTTCCGTTATTAAAAAGTAGTAAATTAATTTTCTTAAACAATTGTGATGAAGAGCCTACCTCAAGTTCGGAAGCCAACCGTTGATTCCTATAACAATTTTTAGGTCTATGGAGACCCTTCCAAAGGCATAAGCACTTGCATAAAAGAGAGCTTGAGCTGCACCAATGCCAATACCTCCGACTCCTCTCATAACTACCAAAACCAACACTAACGTATTAATTACTTAATTATCGCATATATACTTTTTCTAACCTTGGGTGATCTTAGTGAGCATTGGACTAGGGTCTAAGCCTAGAATCTATCCCAAATTTAAGTCGTTTGGCTAATCTTGAATGTGGAGATGCCCACCGGGAAGGCCTTATCTACCGGGTTTTTAACTGAATGATTCAAAGCATAACATGTTCCGCATAGACCAACACGCCATCAATCTAGACTACCGTGTTCGTTTCTAGTAGAATCGAATTCAGGACATAAAGATACATATTTCTTTCCCAATTCAATTTACCACTAGACCACAATGCATTTCACAATC